CTCTCTCTCTCTCTCTCTCTCTCTCTCTCTCTCTCTCTCTCTCTCTCTCTCGTGCAAACAACATACTTATTAATCATTAAAGTCATGTATATTTTGAATTAACTGTGCCTTTTTGTATCTATGAAATTCAGCTTCCAAGGGATGAGATGATTTGACATTCCTTCTTGAAGAAGACTTGACCTCTGTCAACATTTGTGCACTCCATTGYGAGATGCGGAATATGGAACACCTGCTGGCCTCCCTGGGACTTCTCTGCCATGAAGTTGACAGCCTAAAACAATGCAATAAAGTCCTGTCACAGTTTGGCCCAAAGTCCTTCAAAAAAGACAGGATTCATGTGGTAATGAAGCCAGGCCAGGAGTCTTCTGCAGAAAGACACAATATCAAGGTGTCTTCATTTTCAGGTTAACAATATACTGCCTGTGAATGTATGATAAAAATTCCAATGTTCAGTTTCTCTATCTTTTATGATGCTTGATCATATGCTAAAACATTTTAAACAAATGTATCAAATCATTAATATTTATCAATTTTCCAGGTTCTACAGAAAGAGAATTCCTAGAGAACTGTGATGAAATTGTACTAGAATCCCTTCCAAAGGATAAGCTCATCAAGAATTATTTCAGGGATGCCGAGACTGYGAAGCTGTTCATTCTTAACCAAGTCTCATTTTGTCAAGAGCGTTTGAAGGTAATAATGTAGTTGTTATAATGACATGCGTAACTTATCAGTTGTAACTTACCACTGTTAAGGTTATGTTGACCAGTCCTGAGTGATATATCTACTGTATATAGATTATTGGTTTGCATGTAAGTTGTTGATGATAATGTAATGATTCTAATACAATTTGCTTAAATTTTGCCTATTTTTTACCAGTACTATCAAGACTTGAAGGGAAAAGGAAAATTCATAAGAGATTTTGGAAGTCACCAGGAACAAATTGAGATTGAAAAAAAAGGTACACTGTATTAATACAGGGTTTATGCTACTTCTTAAACTAAACTCCTTGAAAACTCCCTAGATTTCATTTACGTTGTTAAGGGCATTTGAAAAGTCCATTAATATTGGACATTCAGCTGAAACTTTTTAAAATAACTCCAATGGCTTAATTACTGATACTTTAAATCAAAGTTTTTTAAAAGAAGGTCCCACAAAAGTCTTACAAGATTTTTTCAAGACTTATTGGGTGTGTAAGATTTCGATATTTGAAGAAACTACAGGACATACAACACTGACAATAATAATTTATTAATGACTGCTCAAGACCCCTTTGCTTTGTGGCGGCACGCCTGAAGG